CCCTGAGGGATCTGTTCTCGTCGCAGGCTGCTTTTCGGCACCCTCTACCCCGCGTACTCCTCCTACAAGGCCGTGAAGACGAAGAACGTGAAGGAATATGTGAGTAGGGCCGGGCTCGGGAGGGCCCTTGCCAAGGGCCGCGCTTACTGAGACGGGAGGTGCCAAACCGTAAATGCGGCGTTTTTTCCGAGGGACACCGGGCGAGGGAGGGAAAGCGGGAGAAAGCTGCAGTCTGGAAGCATCGCAGAGTCCAGCGGAGTTCTTGCCTCCAGCTCTGCCCTTGCCCTGACTCCTTTTACTGCTTTTTCAGTACTGCTCTTATTTCCTTTCAGAAAGCAGAGTATTTCCCTTGGTTTATGCCTTCCTGTAAACCGCGCTTGTGATCGGTGGTTCCTGTTGATCCAGGCCCTGTCCTGCTGTCCCGCATCGTTTTCTCCTCTCCGTCTCTCTGTATCACTGCTATGACTGCGCTACCTGAAGCAGCAAGTGATGCGCCTTGTCCTTACAGAAACGTGTCCGTGGTGGCCAGCGGAGATGAGGACTGTTTGGCTTGCGGGTGGGATGAACCTCTGTATGTTTAGTGGGAGGAATAGCCAGACGGAGCAGGCAGGCAGCACAGGTGAATGGGGTATTCCCTAGGCCAGCGTTGCTCCTTGTGTCGCTGTTGCTGTCTGTGGTGCAGTCTGTGACTCTTCATCCAGCTGGCTCTGTTTGCCGCTTACAGAATGACGCGTTAACAATAGATATTGCAGGATCTAGTCCTATTGTGTCTCACACTGCTTCTATCTGCTAGAATTGCATAGACTTTTCCTTTTTTTCAACTTAAAATTTAGCCCACTGGTTTTTGAGAGACCGTCGCTGGGATGACAGCCTACTCACAGTGCACAGATTTACAAAGCATAACATCTGGCTCAGCTGATTTTTTGCTTTGTTTGTTTGTTTTGCTACTCTCAGTCAGAAGTACCATGTTCTTTACTAAACTGTTAAGTCTACTTGTGGTAGTTGAATGGGAGAAACTATCAGAATAATCACATGATTCTGTGGTTTCATAATTATCTGTGTAATCCTATTACCATCTTTGGTCTCGCTCTTCTCTTTCCTCCCAGTCATTTATGACCTTCATTTGTTGAATCAAATGTAGGTTTTAACCAGAATTTTAGCCTGGCTCATGGGTGTCTGTCATGGATTGCAGTTATGGTATCTATGTTAAATTTATGACAGACTCAGATTTCACAGTTTGAAATTACATTGTTGAGAACCTGGAAAAAATATTACTTTTTTAAAATGCCTTACAGCATGCCTGCTCTGAAGTTCAGAGACCTAGTAAACATGGAGCCCTTGAGTTTATGGACACTCTTTACTGTAAACTTATTGACTGTGGGCAGGCAGGATAGTTTTTGAGGCACATAGGTGCTATGCATCTTACAGAATGCAAACGTTGTATTAATGCAATTTTCTTTTAGTAGATGGCATCTAAATTGCCATAAAACTTCCCAAATTTGATGTTTGAAAGGAAATGAGAGAGTACTTGGGTATCATAAAGTTATTCTAACAGTAATGTCGACTAATCATCTGACCGTAAGCCCTATTAGGGCCCTTGCTTCCTCATAGTGCTTAAGAACCAACATAGGTGGGGGAGAAAGGACTTACCGGGGAATATCTGTGTTAAAATGTGTGTTGTACTGAAGACTGCATTGGAACAGATCAAGAAATCAAAAGCCATCCAGCTATAGCGTCACAGAGCATGGTGCAAACTTACTTCCCCCCCCCCCCAAAGCGTTGTATATCCATCTATGGTAAGTTCTTGAGCAGCTGTGACAAATTGCTTCTGTTATTTCAAGCTCTTTTAAAAGAAGTGACTTGTTTTTCTTCATGTGTGATCTGCAGTTTTGGTCAAATCTACATTCCAACTATGCTTTTGTATTTACTAAATTATGTAGGTTCTTGATGCAAGTTGGGGAGACTCCATATGGGCCGTGAGCCGAAGTCAGCAGCCATCACCTGAGTGGCAAAGACCTCACTCTTTTTTTAATGGATGGCAAAAAAAAAAAAAAATCTTGATTTGACTCAGTTTTTAACAATGTTTGTAATCTATGGATTCAGTCTATGGATTTCTGTTCTTCTGGCTTCTGGTTTAGGAACTTTAAGCTAGACGGGTTCATCTGGTTTATTCAGTAGCTTTCCCTGTGCTAATCTTCCAAGACCATGTCTCAAACCTTCTTTTCCCTTGACATCTGTTGTACTGGTTTAATCAAATGTTGGGGGGAGGGGGGGAGGAAGTGTTAAATGTCTGCATTTTTTTCATTTGGCTCCCCTGAACTCTTACTGTAAAAAGTAATGAATATTCAGCACCTACTGAACTTCTCTAGGAAACTTTTGATTTTACAGACTCCTTTTGTATCTATCCTCTTCTCCCTTCATTTTCTCTTTTTCGGACTGAAGAGTCTTAGTCTATTTAATGCCTCTCTATAGAGAAATAGTTCCATACTGTTTGTGCTTCTGCATGTTTTTAGTTCAGCTGTGTTTCTTTTTTTCTTTGGCTATAGAGGATAGGATGAAGGTGAGGTAGGAGGTGGGAGGTGGAGGTAGGAGGTGACGAAAGGCAAGAACCAGGTTTGTGTCCAGTATTGAAGATGTGAACACGCTGTGTGTTTAAACAGTAACATAATGATGTTTTCTGTTCTTCTCGATTCTTCTTTTACTGTTGCCAAACATTCTGCTAGCGCTTAAAAAGTCCAATGAGCATTGAGCTTGTGGTTTCATCAGGCTGGCTACAGTGACCCCTCCTGAGTGGTAGGAGCTAATGTACGTAACCACAATAGTGGTCACTAAGAAAAAGCAGAAACTGCATGGTTATTACTTTGTATTTAACGACATCGAGCGATAGAATGGTCAGCTGAAGAGCAGTCAGGATAGATGCCCCTTTCTGAACTCTGTCACCAGCTCTAACCTAATTCCCTAGGCAGAAAAGTATCTTCTGCAAATTTTGTCATCTTGTTATTCACACCCTTTTCTGGATCTTTCATGAAGATGAACAGTGCGGCTCTCACTCTGATTCCTGTGGGATTCCACTGGTTACTTTCCTCATTGTGAAAAGTGACCATTTATTTCTATCTGTGTTTCCTATCTTTAACCAGTTGTTAATCGATTCTCAGGAGTCCCTTCCCTTTTATCCTTGATAGCTCAGTTCTTTGAGGGTTTAGGCCAGTTGGAAGCTCTGTGGGAACGCCGTGTACCATATAGGGGGAAGCACTGTAGCTGGAGCTTACTGATTCCTTCAGAGAATTCTGTTCGATTTGTAAGGTTAATTTCTTTCTGCAAAAACCATATTCATCATTATATTGCATATATCTGTTTATCTACTAATTGCTGTTTAGATTTGCTGGTATGTAGCTTCCCAGAAGTCTGTCACACACTGGGATCCTGTTTGTCTTTCATTTGTAGTTGTTCACAAATGAACTTTTCCGTACAGGAGCTGGCTGCGTCCAAGAATTAACGGTTTATTTCATAGAGTTGCTTTAGAAATCAAGTGAATCGTACTTGTCCCTGTCCAAATGATGATACAAGGGAAAAAAAGCAGGGGGAGAGCCATAAAATAAGAGTTTTGCCACACTGTGTTTTGAAAAGTTGCACAATAAAGGGCAAATCAGTTTGGGTTACTAACGCTATAACAGTCTACTGTGCCAGAGGGCTGGAGGCAGCGTAAGGTCGCTCTCGCGCTTCCTCTCTCTCGCGCGCGTGCTCTCTCTCTCTTTTAAGAAAGTTCCTGAGCATCTTTCTATTACAGATCACCAATATAACTTTATTTGCTGTAACTGAGAATGTTACTAAACTGTTAATGTCATTTTAATATGTGGATTATTGCTAAAAATCTACTCTAGCGATGTTAAGATTGCTATTGTCCAAAAGATCTTGATGCTGGAGTTTTCTAACTATACAAGATGCAAGTTACTGTTAAATTTTATCTGATAGGAGGAAAAAAAGCAAAAGTATACAGAGTCTGGATTTTTTTTTTTTTCAGAAAATTTTATACAGAATTTCCCTAATTCAGATTGTTTCTCCCATTCTTGACATTGAGAGTTTTAAGTTGCTTTTAGCAAAGGTGTCCTCCTGTCTCCATTTATCTGCTTTATTTGTTTTTACTTCTTGACTGCACAGAAGACTGTTTGCTTCCCTTATAAGATCCTAACTCTGCTATTGGAAACTTTTGGGTAGTGGGTTTTATAATTAGGCTTGTTCTTAGAGAATATTATTATTTGGCCTGTAACTGAGAGATTGAGGGGTTATTTTGTTTTTGCTTTGCAAGAAATACCCTCTACTGTAGACAGAGGTGTGAGGAAGTAGGGAGGTGGGCGTTATGCTACAAGCATGTCATAACAGCACTAAATATACTTGGTAAACTAAACTGGAGCTTAAACAAGAAGATAACGTTGATATAGTGTGATCTTTGTTTTCTTGCCCTTCTTGCTGAGACTTTATTTAAGAAAAAAGTCCCTCGTGTGATTTCTGGGAGCAATAATTAAAGCTAAGAATGCTTATTAATGAATTAAAGTAAAATTCCATCTGTCTTGTTTCTCCCCAAGGAAACACTTAAGAAAACGTAGAACTACAGCTGAACTAAAACATTTGCATATATATTAATGTAGTCATTATGTATTAAAGAATATAACTTCTTAATGTGAACTGCTGGGTGTTTTAAAATCTTTTATTTAAGATCACAGCACTATTTTTACGTCATGATCTTGGTACAGGACAGGTGTTTTGCAGTATATTGGTATTCATTTGTCTATGTACAGCACGTTAATCCTACATGTTTTCCCAAACTATAATGTAATATCTGGTATGTGACCCTCCGTTACCAATTCTATATATGCCTTCTTGCTGTTGACTTCATCTTAATTTGTGGAGGTGATGAGTCATTTTTACTGATAAGACATTTTACTTTCTCTCTGGGTTCTAGTGGATGTCTAATTAGTGACCTCTCTTTTGCAGGTGAAGTGGATGATGTACTGGATTGTATTTGCCTTTTTCACCACAGCAGAAACACTTACAGACATTGTTCTTTCTTGGTGAGTATCTCGGTGACTTATCTTTTTTTTGAAGAAGAGAGGAGTAGTGATAGGATGCTAAGAATAAACTCTGTCTCTCCTCTAGGCATTCCCAACCCACATGAAGAGTTTGAAGGTTTGTAGACATTGTGGGTAGCAGCTATTGTCTTAACTGTTTTGTCTCCTGTAGCTGCAAATGGCTAAGATTGGTCCATAAGAGTGTCTTCATCCGTTCATTGCACAAAATACTTTTGAGAAGCTATTACATGAACTAATAGAATTTGGGAATTGATGATCTGAAAGACACATTTAAAAAAAAAAAAAGTAGAGGGAAGGGATCTGTTTTGCTTTGCAAGGCTTTGTATGGAGGAACAAATCAGATGCATGTCTCTGCTCTGAGTGGTGTTTTATATGTTGAGAATTTCTTCCATCAGGTTCTTAAGCTTTTCAGTGCTGTGTGTCATGCTTGGCAATATCTATATGGAGCTCCAAAATTGACAAGTCATTGTTTCATGTCTTCAACTGGACTGACCTTTGGAACAGGAAGTCTTCAGTTTCTTCATTGCTTTGGTATTATGTGCTTTGCACATATCTCTGAAACAACACAGTCTAGTCTGAGTTGCATCTTTAAAAGAAACATGATATGGCTACGTCTGTCTTACAGAGGCACTCAGCAGTTTCACCTCTTCCCACATGAACTTTGAAAAGCAGACGATCTGAAAAGTACAAGAGCTCTGGCTTGTTCCGATGCTAAAAATGGCCTGCTAAAAGCAAAAGTCTCTACTACTAATAGGTGTAGTAGAAAGTTTGCATTCAAATACTTGAATATCTGCTGTCTTTCCCAGAGACTTTATTGAACAAAGGCTAAAGATGAAAGACTTACGTGCTGCCAGCTCTTTTTCATTTACACTGATCCTCCTTTTGTGTCTCATCTGAGAAGCACCTGCTGGAAGTTTCAGAAACTGAGCCGTCAGCCTTAGCAAGAACTTGAGAGTTCTTGAAAGCCTAGTTGTAAACTTTGGAAAATGAGCAGGAAACTACTGTAATATTAACTTCCAGTGAACAGTCTCTAAACAAACTTCGTAATGGTGAGAACGGCTATCAGATTGTAACTTGGTGTGTTTGCAGGGCTGAGGGGTGCCCTGTTTATGAAGTTTTCATGGCTATGGATGAAAGACTAAATGACACTTGAAGAAGGTATGTCCTAAGGTTTCAAAGAGGGTTTTGCTCTTCTGACGTGACATTCGATTCTTTTTTCTGAGTCTTTACTCTTTCCTTTGTTCTTTCTATCTGTGCTGCTCTCTACCAGTTGTCTCCTCCTGTCTCTGTACTGATCTTGATTCCAGTTCTCCATCTTTCTCTCTCTTTTTTTTTTCTTCCCTTTCTTTCTCTCAGGTTTCCCTTTTATTTCGAGTTGAAAATCGCATTTGTGATTTGGCTGCTGTCCCCTTACACCAAGGGCTCCAGTGTCCTCTACAGGAAGTTTGTGCACCCAACGCTCTCCAATAAGGAGAAGGTACTTGCTTGTTGTCAGAAGATGTTGACCTGTCTCGAAGCTGACTGACTTCTGATTCAGTTATGCCACAATAAAAATTGAAATGTGCGAGTCATGGTAGTGCTGACATTAGTGGATGTAGAATGATTCTGTCTCTGACATAAAGGTGTCATGATGCAGCCTACTGAAGATGGCAGTATAGCCAGCTCTTTTCCTAATCCTTAGAAAGCGTGTTTGACTAATCCAATGTCATGAGCCCCTGTAGTCACAGTCAGTAGTTCAGCTCATTGAATCATGACAGCAGCAGCATGTTCTGTAGCCAGGCTGTTCTTTCATGTTCTCAGTATAAGCAACTGCATTGTTTCGGTTGCTCTAATTTGAGATAGCTTTCTGAAAATCAGACTTGCATTTGCAAGCGTTTTATAAATAGCAAAGACAGGTACTTGATCAATGGCAGCTGATGCTGGTAGCCTTAGTAAAAGGATTCTGATGAGTTCTGTGTTTTTAAAGGTGACGGTGGGGGAGACTGTTCATATTTGTAACCAGGACCTAAATGCTGTGTTCCCCATTGCTTTCCTAGGAAATTGATGAATATATCACTCAGGCTCGTGACAAGAGCTATGAAACCATGATGCGAGTTGGCAAGAGAGGGTTAAACCTGGCTGCCAATGCAGCAGTTACTGCAGCTGCAAAGGTAATGCCACACCTGTGTACTACAAACACAATCTAAACTTCTGTGACGTGCACAAATTCCCCAGCAGTTTAGTTTTGTGTCCCAGCAGTTAGTGATATGGGTCTGTTAATGATGCTGGTACTTGATCAGACCAGGCAACTCTTCCTTTCCTCCGGTTTTTCTTGCAGTTAATCCTGTCCCTTGACTTACAAAAGGATGAAGGGAGGGGAGGATTGGAGTTTGCTGTAGCCTTTTTCTTGTTGATCATGGGAGCATACCTCTATTTCCCTTCTCTCTTCTTTTCAGAGTACCCTAGAGGGGAATGGGGCACCTTCCCACTTCTGAATGAGATGATCTTAATGAGGGCAAAGTGTCCTTGACACTAATTTTCATGTCCTCTTAGGGCCAGGGAGTTTTGTCTGAGAAGCTGCGAAGTTTCAGCATGCAGGACCTCACTCTCATCCGGGATGAGGATACTGTGCATTTACGAAGCCATGAGCCACAGTTGCACCCCTCTGGTGGGAGTCTCCTTGAAACCATTGAGGATTCAGGTACAGAACACAACTGCTGTGCTATTCTGTGAGGCCTCATATGGTGAGCCAGGAGGGGATCTGTGGACTTCATGCTTTGAGTCTCAGAAGGACTACAGGATTGCAAACTATCTAGAGGAAGTTGTGTTGTCCTCTCTAATCCCTTCCCATCTTCTAATACACCTCTGTACTTTGGGGGTTATTTTTCATAAGGCTGTTGACATCTGTCCTCCACGTGGTCCTTAATGACTTGCCACTTGAGATTTCATGTGTTTTTTCAGAAGTATTTGATAAAATTTTCTCTGTTATTCCTTAGCTTCCTGTTATTCCTCAGGAGAGGAGAGCGGTGTGGCACAGAGATCTAATGGAACCCCATCTGAGACTAGAACAGACCCATCCGATGAAGATGCAGGAGACAAACTGCCTAAACGTACCCAGAGCCTCAAAGCTTCTAAGAAGATGACAAAAGCTGAGGTGAGCTGCTGTGTAAGTTATTTCCAATGCAGGCATTGATTTGTGAGCTTTGTTGGGAGGCTCTGGCTTCACAGAGCCTCACAGAGTATGAAAGCTGTTTATATATAAACTTTGCTGGTCTAAGTCTTTGCTACATGAGTCCTACATGAGAGCATTTGCTGTCTGCAGGTGCACCTACTATGCAGGTGTCTAGCTTCTGTATTCTTATGGTGCCTGGAAACCTCTGTCATGAGCCAGGACCCAAACTTTTCTTTCACTCGTGTTGTTTATAAGGGTAGGACATTAAGCTTTTTTTTAGCATGTTTTGTTGATTATACTCTCTCCCCTGTCTGTTGTGGGCAGTCTGGATGCATAGTACTGCTGTGACCTTTATTCTTGCGACAGCTATTTCCTCCTCATCTAAAATGCAAATGTACTATACCTTCTTAAGCCTTCCTGGACTTCTGCATGTTTGATTTGGCAAAAGTATCATTTAGGGGCCCATATAGATGGGTTTTGTTCTCTTGAAGTTTGGGTAACTAGTCATTGATGAGCTGTTGCTTCCTATGGCCATGTGATGCTCCCAGGGTATTTGCAGCCATATTCAGACGAGCACGAGTTGCCTGTATTTCTATTGTTGAAACACACTATACATTAAAAAAAAGAACACAGCTGTGTCCCAGAGCAATATTAGCTTAATCATGTTTTCATTCAGAAGCTGGTTTGTTTTGTGGAATATGCCCTTCAAACTGATGCTTTCCAGGCTTTTGCTCTTCCTTGAAAGTTTTTTTTTTTTTTTTTGTGGTTCAATTTATACGTGATAAAGTACTTCTCCCTTTTTGTAAAGTTGGGGTCATCTTATATTATGTGCTTGGCTTAACTCAGGCTCCTAATTATTATTTATTTATTTAAGCTAGAGAGTAGTATATGACTAGACCACATTGTAGAGCTTTTCTGGTTAAGTGTAATAATTGAATAATCTAGAGGAAAAGTAATCAGCAAAGCATCATGTTAAGTTGTAGCATTGACCCTGAATTTACAGTGTACGAGACACCATTACATGTGATTAGACACTCTGTGTAACGTATGTCATATATGTCTGCACCCTTTCTACATTCTGTTAGATATTTAGGTGTTAAAATAAACTAACATAAGATGGCTCCTTTTCTTTCTCCTCAGCTTCCAGTAAGAAGTGTGAAAGCTCGCCCCAAGAAGAAAGCTACAGGCTCTGTTACTTCTGTCGAGTCATCCTAAGGAGACCTCCCCCTCCCCAGCATCTGTCTCTGTCCCAGGATTTGCCTGTCACCTTCAAGGGGAAACTCTAAAGGAAGGGAGCTGAGATTCATGTACATAACAGCTACTGCTTTGTAGAGCTCATTCCAAGGCAAGGGGGGAGGCTGAGATTTAGAATATGGAGCAGAGGGATACACATCCTCTGGAATTTTCTCCTTTTCGTCCCTCTGTTGGAGGGAATGCCAATATGTCTGTACATAGCCTGTTGCTTTGGGATTCCCTCTGTATAACCCTAGTTGGGGAGAATCTTTACTGGAAGAACTGACTAGGGTTAGAGACATCCATTGCACAGAAGCTGGAAAAAATATTAGACACTGGAGTTCCACAGGGATGGGTGGCTCCCAAAAATATCTTATCTTGCTCTGGGTATCCTTCTGCAGCTGTGTGTTGTTAAGAAGTGCCCACCATAATTCATTCTCCTTTAGAATGGCTGGTACCTGTCATGTCCAGCCCCTTTCAGAAGGGGACTGAAATGATGTGTGCTGAGTAATTTTGAACATAAAAAGGACTGGCTCCTGGGAGGAACGTGGCAGGCAGATTCCAGTTCCTGATACTGGAAGATAAAGAGTTTGATTTTTATTTTATTTTATTTTATTTTTCCAGAAGGTCAAATGAGGGAATTGGAAAAACTGAGTTATGAAGAAAAAGTGCTAGTATATGCGCATGGGATGGAGCAGATACAGGTATCTGTAAGACTTTAACTACTGAGAAGGAAAGTGGGGCATCCGTAAGGTTTTTGGCTCACTCCTTGAAGCTGCTTGAATTTTATTTCAAGTTCTGTTGTCCACTTTGATACCTGTAGGAACATCAGTGAGAGAGGGGAAAGTGGGCAGGGAGAATGTTGCTTTTCCATTGAGTGGTTAAACTCTGCATCGTCCTGATGGTTGTTACCACAAATTCTTTCATTATAACAATGATTAGGAAAAACCTGTTTCAATACAGTCTTCAGACATACATGAGAAATTCAGAAGCCTTTGTCTCTCAGCTTTAGGAGAGCCAGTCCTCGGAGCATGAAAACTGAAAAAACAGTTGAAAGTATGAAGTTCACTAATCTTGGGATTCCATTTATGGGGGAAAAAAGGAGAGAGTGGGGCTCAGTGTTGGAATTAATCAGTCCTCTTGCTTCATCCTACTTCAGCCCTTGCACAACTTCTTTCTGTCTGACCATGTGCCGTATTTATCAATGTCCTGAGACATGAGCAATATGCAACAATTGGGACAGAGCTACATTGGAAGTAGGATATATTCTGTGGGAGTGCGACTGCAGTACTGCGGAGAAAATTAGAGTCATGCCAAGCCATCCTAGATTCTAATCTGTTGAGAAATATTAAGGGGAGGGGGATCCCCTGTGCACGTACCAACAGGTTTGATGGGGATTTGCGAGATGAGTAGAGCTCCTGTTGTTGAGCTCCTGTATAATGGGGGAGCGCCATTATAAACCTGGTTGGCTGAACAAATATGCGATGGTCTTAATATTTACTGAAACTAGCGACCAAAGCAATCTGGCTTCTTCCAAAATGAAGACCACTCTTGGTTCTAGATGCAGGCACTCCTGTTTGCCTGTGTCTCTTGCTGTCATATTTCTGAAACTATGGTGGACTCTTTGCTGAAACCTGGTGTTTTGCTGCTGACAATGCATAGAGGCACTTCTGCAGATAAGGCTGCACACACGTTTCTGTCCTAAAGGACATCCCTTCAAAAGCTTGTAACTTACAAGATTGAGACTGAAATTTTGCTCGTTTTCCATTGTCTTGGTGGCAAATTTTTATGAATTGCCTAGCTATTTTGGGAAAACAATTAAGGAAAAAGTTATTTTTGCTTTACTTGTAGCTTTACAGGCTATGTCGGAAACTTGCATCTTATCAGAAATGCTTATCCTAAATTATCCATAAGTCCTTTGAGGGCCCAGTAGAAAATCTGTTTGATTTGGCTTTTAGGTTTGAGCTTTAAAAAAAAAAAAAAAATAGTAGTCTACTCTTTAGTTTTGTTATCAAACATTGTATCCTTGTATCACTAGTATTATGCATGCAACTGCATGTATTGAAGCAGAAATTCTTTCTGTTTCAAATGGAAATCCCTCTTTCCATATGAGGGATAAAATATAGGAGAGAAAGTCTTTATTGATTGTATAGAAGATTCAGTTGTGAAAAACTGCTGTCCTAGACTATACTATGTTGAGCAAGATAGAACCATTATTCTCTATTCACTAAGTACCTCTATGACCACGTTACTTGAGTTTTTTGAACATAAAAATCTCTATAGTAAATTCTTTATCTAAATGATTATGAGGAACTTGATTTGGAAGCTAAGGATCAGATAGTCTGCCCTCATGCTGATTTTTTCCTGCCCATTCCTTGTATGTGTGTTGCGCTAGTCTCGGATGACTCAGTTTTCATACAGTGACTTTTGAGAATACTTTCTACAATCAGTTCATTTATAGTAATTCTTCCTGTTCTGAAACGCAGGAAGGGCTTCTAAAGACTCAATTTGGGTGTTAGGATTTACCTCTGTCTCCCTGAACTAGATTGTGCGCTAAATATCTTTTGCTTAGCGTTGATGTTTAATGCCATTAGCCTGTGGGTGAGGCTGGGTCGGATTTACTCTGACTTGTACGGAAAAATTAAATGAACTCTTGTCATAAGAGTCTGGAGGGGAATTGGGGACTACATCTAGTATGAGATATGAAGCCGATGATGTCGGGCAGCAGAACTTACCCAGAGCAAGAACAGTGTCTTAGCATGGCCAATATGTTCTTCTTCCAGTATAAATGTAAGTGATTGCTAGATTTTGCTCTGCTTGATCAAAGCCTCTGCAGATCTGCCACCACCTGTGTGATAGTTTAGGGAGTTTCTAGATATAGCTGTGCACTGGATGGCATGGTCATGCATAGAAGTTCTCTTGTTAATGAGAATGCTGAATGTACTGTTTCGATAAAATGCTTTTAGTGGCTGTTGCTCAGTGTTTCCAGCAGAAAATGCTAAAATGTAGTTCCTATTCAGTATCTTCTGTGAGCTTCGTTGTGCAGTTAAGCAAATGGTTAAATCGTCACCTTGCAGTAGAACCCATTGTGTTCAGTGTTTATACCTCTTTCCTGATATGCCTAGGCACAGAGATAAACCCAATAAGAGAAAATGATACCTGAGCTTTTTAGGGTTGTATGTCTAAAAATTATCCAAAAATACCTGCACCACGAGATGCGAAGTGCAGCCATGACTTCCTTTCAGAAGGAAGTGTCATACCTCCACACTTTATAGTATTATAAGTCAGTGTTCTGCAGTTGGAAAAGAAAACCGTGAAACATGGTTTCCCTTCTGAGAAACATAATGACTTGCTGCATAAAAGCAAGTCATGCCCCCCTGGTGGGTAAGAACTAGGAAAAGAGAGAAGAGACTGCTGTAAGGTCTTGAACCCACCATTCCAGCTAAATAGCTTGATTTCTTACTGTTCTTTATGGAGTTTCTGATTCTCCAGCCTTAAGTTCCCTAGAGTCCAGGGGGACTGATTTCTTTTAGACTAGATTAACTTCCTTGGAAAGTAGAGGGAGTATTAGAGAAGGGAATGCTAGAGTTCTTAAAACTGGAAAGCTTATTCTTGGAAAACCACACCTTCCCCCAGTTAGTGTAGTGTGTTCCATTTGTTGTCCTTTCATAGTGGTTCACTTTCTTTATTATACATCCCTCTTAGAAGTATGACTCCTCCACAATGTATGGCCATGCCATTTCTGCCTTGAAAAGCAAGCATTCTAGTGAACCCTGACTTTCCAGAAATTGATGCTTTTCAGTTTTATTTCATTTGCCATCTTAAATCAGCAGGACATGCAGTGCCTTAGGAGGAAAGTGGGATAAATACAGAACACGCTACTGGTTCTCAGATCTGCACAGAGCATTGTACCAAGGAGGCTTGCATGTTCAATGTGAAATGTCATTGTATGTTTAAGAGCAGCTGTTAAATTGAGCTGGGTTTCCCTAACTGTTTTCCAAACTTGCATACGATGCTGGAAAGTGTAGCTTGTTACCAAAGAGAGAAATCTGAAGAAGAATATTCTTACCCTTCCTTCTGATGGGGATACTGTATTATCATGTTACGCCGCAACTTGCGGGGGAGACGCTGAACCACATCGCTGTATACAGCTGGTGAATACTCTAGTTTTTCTTGCTCAGCCCGCTAGTGATCTGTAATTTGCCACTTAGCTGAGGCATCTTGGGGTGCTGCTCTCTGAGCTGCCCTATGAAGTCAGATATGTGGAAAACCAGCAAAGTATTCTGAAGCTGTATGAGTTTGTGTGCTCTATATGTACTCTGAAGCCTACTGAATTTAATGTTTTAAGAGCCTGTATGTGCGTATATGCATATACCTTGTGGGGATATGCTTTAGTGTTACTGGGGAGAAAGGATGTCTGGTCACTCTTCCTCTGGAATTTGGCACTATTACAAGAAGCTGTAAACATGACTCAGTCTTGTGTTATTTCTAGGCATTGTTATGAACATGTTAAGTCAAGCCTAGGGGGCCTCAAAAGAGATCTTAAGAGGTATCCCAAGTAACTTGTTTGTGAGAACAATTGATTTGAATGGTAACTGAGAACAGTAAACTTGCATAGCAACTAAGAACCTGTGCTGTGGTTTAGGACAGAAAACAGGGCTAGGTACAGTAAAGATTTGTCCAAGAAATATCACTGACTCTTTCTGAGCCTCAAGCACCGTACAGACTAGAGCCTGGTTTCTCACTCACAGCACCTCTGACTCTGTTTTTTACCTTTTTAAGCTGGACTTGAACAACATGCATTCAAACTCTTGAACCGTTAATCACATCAGAACAATAAAGTTTGAATTCTTCCTCAGCAGTCGTATAGACCGCAGGGAGGAATGGATGAGTATCGAGTATCTCACATCATTTGTTGCAGATGTATTATGCTGGGGAAGCACCAGTAGGGAGCTCCAGAGGAAACATTCGTCTGGGGAATTACCCAAAGGCTGTATTTTTGGACCAGAATGATGAATTAAATTCCAGACTTTGCTACACTCATATACACAGCCATCTACAGAATCCCAAAGTTAATGTCAGACCTGCCAAGAGCTGGAATCAAAATAATATGGAATGCAGAAAAAAAGTGCATCTGCTTTTGTTTCTCTTCAGTGTTGCAGGTAAATTTAGGTCTTTGTTGCTGCTTTCTCCAAAACCTTCCCATAAAACTTGTGCAAGTAAACCATTATTTCCCTGCTCTGTTTCTCAGCTCCTATCCTCTTCCTTATATTAAGTAAAGGATTCCATTTGGCTGATTATAGAGACACAAAAATGCCTTCTTTAAAAGCCAAAATTTAGCCTTTTCCGATTATCTCATTATCCAATCTTATGACCTGGCATCATACAGTAACTTGCGCAACGAGGCCTCAGGCTGGGACCCAGGTGGAACCCGGGCATGTTACTGTTAGCATATTTCCCTTTCCTTGAAGTGGATTCTGGCTGCAATCTGCCTACTGTCGACCCTTTGGACAGGAGTATTTTGTGTTTAACCATATGATATTAGAAGTAATGTCTGTGGGAGGGCTGCAAAACTGAATGAACTCAAGCAGCAAGAGCCTGAGCCTCCTCTAATATGTAACTGTTTCAGACTGTACCTGAAGGATTTGCTGCAGCAGTGAAAATGCGTTGCCATACTGAGTCATCAAAGATAGGGAATTGAGTTGTATTCTTTGTAGCAGGTCAGGGAGGAGAGTCAGGCTGAATGACAAGCATTTAACCATAAAGAGTACGGTCAGAGTACATCTTCACTGCAGTATTGTAGGAATAGCAGGTTAGGTTCACGTAAGTTAGTACAGGTACAAAGCAGTCTACCTACAGCAAACTTCAGCCTGCTAATTAACCTTGTTTCTTCGCAAGACAGATCAGCCTGACAGTTCTCTGCAGATGAGTCAGCTATAGATATCTACATTACACTGATTCAGCTGCGACAGGCAATTTCGACGTTTGTACAGCCACCTTTTTCCTAGCTATTTGGCCAGATGGAAACTGCCTAAAAACTTTTATTTCTTTGGTAACAGTAGGTAAAATTAAAGCCTTCTGCCTGTTTTTCAGCTTTTGAACAAAACGTTTTACTGCAATGCAGGAGATGGGTGTGGAGCATCCCTGCACTGTCAGGGAGCGGAAGGTATTAACTCCTCTTTTTTTTCTTGGAGCTTAGTTGGTAATGCCCCTGTGGCTCGCAGTAGGTGTATGTTAGAATGTATTGAAAACTCTTCCTAAGAAGAGAGTAAAAAACACTTTTTTTGTGTAGTAGTTTGTCTCGTTTAGTGATAATTTCTACAAGGTTTTTAGCCTCACTATGTAGCAGAATTGATGAGTGTAACGTGTGTGTGGTGTCAGTGTGTGGCAGTAAACAACAGAAATGCATAAATGAGTGCTATGGGATTTCTGCCACACAGATGGCACATTTCAGGAGAGAGGAGTGAGATTAAAATATGAACATCTTAGTCTAGTATTAAAATTTTCTAGTGAGAAAAGTGTGTCAGGATTGTAAGAACTGAATGAACACTCCCTAACAAATGAGTAGCTTAAAAAAAAGAAAACAGGAGTGGATGAAAGGTAGTACAGCAGCCTCTGTAACCAAGGTTGAAATTCCCACTAGAAGGTGTTAGTCATTCAACAGTGCCTTGCCGTCTGAAGTCACTGTTTTTACCAGATGTCTCCTTTCTTCCTAGAGTAATATTCTCTAGGAAGTGTCCTAGAGTAATGTTCAAGTGCATATGCACTTGATTCCTAAGAGCCTGAATAGACTGGAGTGTAAGTTCCATTAGAGTGTAAGTATTAATTTCTGCTTGTAAGTTTTCAGAAATTCCCAATGAAAGTAGAGCAGATATGTCAAAAATGGGTAAAATGGCATGGAATGTCAGAGGAACCCAACCAAAGGAGCTCAGAGGGGACTCATTTGAAAAAGTGTTTTGTTTTGTTTTTTTAAACTATTTACACTTACCCCAACTGACTGTAAGAGCTTTCAGGAGCAGGGTATAGGCAACACTGCACGCAATGCTTTAAGGACAACTTCTGTTCAGTGTGCAGGTCAGCACCCACCGTGCTCTAATGCCTAGTCTTAATTGGTATATTGAGTTAATACTGGTTGCCCCATCTCAGTAAGAGGGTGTAGTCATAGAAGATTATGTCTTCTGATGAAGTCTGGAAAGATGGATGTGTGAAGATGCAACTGAGAGAACTGTAACAGCTAACCTTGAAGAAAGATGTCAAAAATCCACACTGAGGAATTAAAAAAGGAAATTAAACAAGTCTGCTTCTGTTCATAATCAAGAAAACAACAACAAAAAGGGGGATTCAGTTAATAGGATAACTGGCAAATTTGGCACTGATGTATTTGTTCTCTCAGGTGGACAACCTATGCAATCGCTTGCTTCACATAGTTCTTTTATCTTACCTAATTTGTAAAACAAAGTGTAGTTTCCTTGTACATAATTTTTTTTTTTTTTTAGGTAATGCTTAGTGACTTACCAGAAAGAAAGCAAGTTGAATTTTTTTGGTGACTTTGTAAAGTTAGGAGGTAAATTACCCAGTTTTCAAAGCTAGTTTTGTATTCATGCTGCTGCCTTTTGGGGAAGGCACTGAGTTGATGGATTCCTCAATTTGGACTCATTTGTTGTATTATTTCTCAACTGTTGTGAATGTAACGTAAAGATAAATGAAATTTGTGTTTTGACATGTGATCATGAATTCATATTTAAATTCAGGCGTGCTGAGAAGACAGGGTTAGTTGAATTAGAGCCCAATGAGAACGTGGAGAGGTTGAGACAGATTTAGCCAGTTGAAGATGCCTGAAAGCCCTTCCTTGAAGTGCCCAACTTAGAGACCTCGCAGCAATGCATGGCTTTGATTCCACAGTTTTGTAATAAAGTTTCTTTCAGCACAGTGCTGATCTAAAGTAAGCTGCTCAGTAAACTACTGAGTTGTGCATTGCTTTTTGTCTACCAGAGGGTATAAGTACAACATACAATCACTGAAAATTGGAGAGGGCAGACCTGTCCAGTGTTAGCTGAATTATGACTGATTGAATGTCGGTATCCTCTATGTTTGAGGATGAAGTTCCATCCCGCTCAGAAAGAGCAAGCGAAAAAAATGGGGCTTTAATGGAGAAACATGACGTAGTACTGCAGTTAACCCCTGTCTGAAAAGGTCTTTTGAGCTTGCTGGGCTTTTTAGTTGAACTACTTTCCAGTGAGGTTTGCTGAGACCATGGTCTTGGAAGCAGCTGTGTAAACAGCTATGTTTGTGATTTTCCTTTTGCAATTACACAGTTTCTGTGTGTATGTGTGCTTCAGCAGTGTTACTCTAATTTGTCTTTGGAATTTTATTATTAGCAATAGAATTTCCTGGTAAGAATGGGTAGTTTCTTTCAATTGGATCTGTATTATGTGAAAATAGAAGCAATTTTAATCTAAAAATACAGATGCATCTAATGGTTACTATGGTAATTTGTGACCATGGCAGCAGAGAGTTATCATTATGAAGAACTGATGGAGGATTGTGGGGTATGTCTGTGGTTTGTTGTTATTAAGTCACGAGCCTAATTAACGGTGTGCAAGTATTTCAGGAGAAACACTGACTTTATTTATTTATTTTTACCATGTAGGATCACATGGGTACAAGGGATTTTTCTATAATGAGTAATTTGATACTTAAAGAGTGAGATTATCTCTACTTTAAATTATTTGTGTGAGCTAATCCACTGATGTGGAGTAGCTCCTGAAGGAACACTTCTGTTCATGGTTCAGATATATTATTTGTTAGCCCTTTATTAATGGAAGGATGTTTCAAATCAAATTCCAAATCCTTGATTTCCTATAGGAGTTTTGACTAAGGTATTGACTCTCTAACTGCCCCATGTCTTAGAAGGCAAACAGAATAAATAACATTACTATACCTGCCCCCCCTCTGCCCCCCCTCCCCCCAAAGTTACAGACCACAGTTAATTTCCAAATGATGCAACTGGAATAATGTGTCCTGTTCAGGTGGGCTTCCTCCCTGTCTGCTTATTCTGCGCACAGTCAAATTGAAAAGTAAAGTTCAGGAACTCGGACTCAGAAAACTATTTCTGTTTGCGTAGTTTAGGCAACACTGTCTTAGTGACACCTTGTTGTCAGCTGGAAGTTAATTAGTGACTCAGTGTTTACTTGCAAAGTTTTCTTGGAGTGGTCTGTAATGACTCAAGTGGCTTAATCTCAGCACTGCCATGATAAGTCTCATGCTCTGTGAGTAGATAGTTTATTACAGAGGTAGGAGTTGCAAACTCTGTTTTGTTCGCACTGGCATTTTAAATTGCCTTTACAGCTCATGTACGAGATGTGCTACTCCTCAAACCCAATTTTCTTCCTAAACCACTTTCTGTTAAAGAAATATGAAAATTCTTGATGCAAGCTGTGGGATGAGGGAGTGTCTCCAAAAATCCAGTC